TGAAGTTGAATGCACATCCTTGTCACCACCCTCAAATGCATCTAAACCTGGAAGTATGCATAAGTCGAAAAAGTGTCAAGTAAATTGACGCGCCTCTCGTATTTCGTACCAAATTAGTTTTGTAAGAAGAATATCAAAACTTCATTCAGAAATAACGATTTTGTCAAAAAACCGCATCCCTAGACATTTTGCACACTAAAACGCGAGCTGTACCTGGCCACAAATATCGATAGGTGACGAGGTCGAGTTTTTCCTCGTCTTCATATTGACATGTAAAGAGGACAATGTTTTCTTCTCCCCGTGTCACTTCAAACTTTATAACCGATTGGTTTCCCTCCTCCTCCTCCTCTAAAACTGAAAATCAGAAAAACGGGATGCGTAAAATTTTATACAGTTCTGCGCGTAATATTAAACACCTGAATTAGGAAATTGCTACGTCCAAAAATTAATAATTAAAATACATTAGGCCGACTAACGTACCGCAGGGCGTCTCAAATCCACAAATGTTTTCTTCATTTGAATAACACCTGATCTGCAATTAAAGTATTTTTATTCAGATCTCTTTCAAACATTCAGAGCGCCTGACTTTCTTCCACCCAACAATCAACTATACGGGACACGCAATGTACTAAGAGGAAACCAAAACCGAAAGCTGACTTATTTTCGAAAGCGCGACAAATCTCGTTTATCAGTGTGCTCGAAAAAAACTCGGCACTGAGCTGACATTATCTTTAATTATAACAGAATGTTGTAAATAACCAAGCGAACATAGGCGCTTGTTTTCTTTGGACTTACTCTACGCAGATATGTATCCAAAACTCATTTTTGTTCATAGTTATTACACCTTATCAAAGTCTCTTTAGGACGCTATTTTATGCGCGTGATGGCAATTAATGTACTTGCGGATAACCTCGGTAACATTATGCTTTTCAGCATTGTTCCTCATAAGCATGCATTTTTACCAACGAGTATCTCATAAGTGCATCGCTGATAAGGGAATTATGTAAGTGTCACTTTCTAAAGGTGGGTACGCGATGGATCCAAGAGGGGAAAGATAATAATTCCTAAGTCATACATTTAATCGCAACTGTGAACGTAAACCCAATTCATTATTTGAGGATTACACTCTTACATCTAAACATACACCCAAGTTCAAGTTTTTTAAAAACGCTTTTCAACAAACTGTCATTTGCAAGACACCTTTAATATGACACAAACATATTAAGCCTTGAACACTCTTCATGCATTCGGAACTGCAGTGTATGAATTGCAAAATACCAGAGCAACTCACTTTGGTTGCATTTATACGCGATATCGTTTCCCGCATCCGCCAAGTAAGTTCTACTTTTTCTTCATTGGTACAACTGGTTGATAGACTTTCATTTTCGAACGCAAATATTCCTGAAAAAAGAACTTCTTATTTAGCGCAACGAGTCTTGCTAAAAGAAAGGGCAGTTGAAAGTTCTAACTATAAAGGTAATATGACACCATGTTAAAATGTGCGTCTACAAATGCCGCTCCTGACGTACGATCATCCGATAAAGCGTAGGAGAAACGCTCAACTGATATCCAAAAGATTTTTCCCAGTGGGTCTGAACCTTGAGCTCCGATGGAAATTTCATTGACGCCTTCTATTTCCGGCAGGAAAATTGTAATTCGCGAAAACTCTGCAACTGAAAGATCAATGCGCAAGTATTCCATCTGCAATGTTTGCTGGAATGCTACAGTTACAAGCCACGATGAGAATTAAAGGCTAGTGCAAACCGTAAGAATGTAGATCAAAATACAAGCGATGTTGACTGCGCGGCAAAAAATACATATAATTGCGGGCAGAAATCAGGCACATGCGTAAGTCGTGTTCTTCATGAAACACTGACGAACCAAGGACCGCGAAATTTATCCTGTTTGTATGGTAGCTGGCAATAACTATCGGGTTTAGCCGCGTATAAGGAACTTTCTAGATCTTTAACTGTGGTGCCCAAATCGTAGAAAGCACTGCAAAGTAGGTGTTGACTTACGTCTTTCGACTTTACATCTGAAGGTTTCATTTGAGTTCTTAGCCACGCAGACCCCTTCGTCAGCTTCCACATCAAAGGTTTTTCCATCCACGATCACCCACTTTAAGGAACAGAAAGGAAGCTTTATGCCGGTTTGGTTGTTTTAACTTCGTCTAATGGCACAAACTGTCGCTTCAGTTAACTTACCACCGGCGCCCGTGGAAGGTATGTTGCAAAGATGAATGGGCCTTCTTGTTGAGTAAATACTGGCCTTCGACTGCCACATTCGTCGCGCTCTGTTCAAAGGAAAGGATCAAAAGTAATTTCCAATCAGCAGCAGTGGGTGAATGGCAAAACAAACGTGATATAGTACGGTCGAACAGGCTAATGCTAAGCAGAGATTCTAGCCACTGTTATTGACTTAATGCTCGCTATTAGCGAAACCTCTTTTCATTTACGGTCGTATCCTCCCGAACACTAGTTTTGAGAGACAACGCCATTTGAAATGATCGTCAGCGACAAAGGTGAAGTGTTTTGTATTAATGCGAGCACGCACGTGCATCACATCTAACCGGAAATAAACGGGATATTCAGTTTACAACACTACTAAATCCATCGA